CGGAACAGTATTTTAGAATCATACACTGATAAAACTTATCGTAGCATAAAAATAAAGTGTACTGATCTGTTTAAATCAAAGATAAAAAACAGTATATTATAAAAGTTATAATATTGAAAAATTGAAAAATATGCTGTTCTAATGGAAAATTGACTATATATTTCAAATTACTGATTGTTTGTGACTCCTATATATTCATCAGGCAACATATAAGATTCAGAGACAGAAAGTTTGCCATGAACACATTTATGTTTAACAATTCGTCTCAAAACCTCGACATTATAAACTCTTCATAATAGGTAATTTAAGGATTTCCACGACAAGGAAAATGTTGTTCCAAATAACTTTTCACTGCAAGAGTTGTATTGTCAGACAACTGAGAAATTCATTGTTTTTATCTCAGTATTTATGGTCGAATATCTTAAAGAAGAAAAAGTACGAACGTATTAAATGGAAGGGTGTTGTTATGTAACATACTTGACTAAATAACAAATTGGCTCAAGACTTAATAAATGTGTCACAGTAAAAAATAAGAGCTATCAAAATAAAAGAAAAGTATCAAAGTAGCCATTTCAAAAGACACCACTACGAACGAAAATTATAAGAGACGAAAAACCCCAACTGAAAACACCAAAACCAAACTGTTGCTTTTATATAAGAACTAGATCTGTTGCCCATTAGAATTTATTTTTATACCCCTCTAAAAAAATGCCCATTGAATGATATTCAATAAAGATGAAATAAGAACTTTAAAGTTTTTCGTATTTTCGTAAAGTGCCAGCACTTTTTGTGTTAATAACTTTAAATGTTGCATGTCCTTTCAAATTAAAAGTAAATTATTCCAACATTTCAAACCTAATAGTCATTTTCCAATTCAGTAGCAAAAACTTTAATGCAAATTTTCTTCCAAAGGCAATTAATCAGACCTATTCAACCAACTATTTCAATCAAGAAATGGTAGAAACAGATTCAACAAACTATGTTTCAATCAAGGAACGGTAGTAACAGATTCAACCAACTATGTTTCAATCACGGAATGGTAGTAACAGATTCAACAAACTATGTTTTAATCAAGGAACAGTGGTAACAGAAACTCATTTATTCATCTAAATCCAAGATCAAAGATATACGATTTATTTCCAACAGTTATATTCTGTTATTTAGTTAATTCTCTCACACAAAACATACAGATTTCACAGACTAGTAAATATATGCTTAAACAAAATTTAGTTTACATGGATTATATTGTTTTTTTATTTATGAGGAAATATATTGAAAGTTTGAAATGTACAAACATGAAAGTAGCACGTTCTTACTCTTAGATACATGCTGTCAAAGTGATGATACGTGTACATAAATTAATAATAACTTTATAAACTTTATTATACTTTTCTATTTTTGTTGGTAATCTTGTTTCAAAACGGACTTTCTTAGTTTATTTGTATTAATTATCTTTTATTGTTCCCTCTGTGGTCACTAATTATCTTTTATTGTTTCCTCTGTGGTCACTAATTATCTTTTATTGTTCCCTCTGTGGTCACTAACTATCTTTTATTGTTCCCCTCTGTGGTCATTAATTACCTTTTATTGTTCCCTCTGTGGTCACTAATTATCTTTTATTGTTCCCTCTGTGGTCACTAATTATCTTTCATTGTTCACTCTGTGGTCACTAATTATCTTTCATTGTTCACTCTGTGGTCACTAATTATCTTTCATTGTTCACTCTGTGGTCACAAATTATTATTCATCGTTTCTTCTGTGGTCACTAATTATCTTTCATCGTTTCTTCTGTGGTCACTAATTATCTTTCATTGTTCACTCTGTGGTCACTAATTATCTTTCATTGTTTCTTCTGTGGTCACTAATTATCTTTCATCGTTTCTTCTGTGGTCACTAATTATTTTTCATTGTTCACTCTGTGGTCACTAATTATCTTTCATTGTTTCTTCTGTGGTCACTAATTATCTTTTATTGTTCCCTCTGTGGTAACTAATTATCTTTTATTGTTCTTTCTGTGGTCACTAATTACCTTTCATTGTTTTATCCATGGACGGATCGCGGGCACTTACATTTTTCTATATTTGTATTAAAGAAACTGTTTGCTTCGTACGTAAGTCATATGTTATAGTTCTGGTCGAGTTTAAACTTTAATTTCGACTTTTTCTGTCAAGTTACATTTATAGCCTTAGTTTATACAAATATAATAGAAAGAAACTAGTAATCTCGAAACCTAATACCATAAAACACACTAGATCTTCATTGTATAGAAATGATTAATAACGAAATTCAATACATTCATAAAGGAAAAATAACGACAGAGAATTTTATTAACATACATATATTTTACATTAATATTAATTAAACATATCAATTACTTTTAAAGATATGGTATTGAATAACATCGTCGGGAGTTATTGTGGTAAGTTTGGCTAAAGGAAATTATAAAAAAACAACAGAACAATTAAAATACTGACTATTTAGTATAAACTATGTTATTATAATAAATTAAAAATGCTAACTAACACAAAAAGTATACCAGAAATTAACTGATGTCTCCTGACAGTATTTGGAATCCATATAAAGATTCCAGCACTGTTCTACTGATATCAGGTAGTATGCAAAACAATGGCAACTGATATCTGCTAACAGTATTTTAAATTCATATTAGAATATTTTTACTGTTCTAATGATTTCAGGCAGCATATGTAGTCAGCTGATATCTGATAACAGTACTTTTAATCCATATATAAAATAGTACTGCAATTGATGACCTGCAAAGTGAAATTCGAACCACCATAAAATGTTCATTCAATGCGCTTTGTCCTTAAAATATGACAAATGGAACTACAAATAAAAACATATGGATCACGTGTACTAGCTTTCTAGTATCATTTACGTAAAAGAATATTGTTAACAGATAGATATATAAACACATGACTGAAATATACTAATAATATATTCCGTTAGCTATTATTATTTGCCCCCCCAGTGTCAAAGCAGCATGTCTGCTGACTTACAACGCTAGAAACCGGGTTTCGATACCAGTGGTGGGCAGAGCACAGGTAGCCCATTGTGTAGCTTTGTGCATAACTTTAAACAAAGTGATCAAACAAACCGATTATCATTTCTTCTAAAAAAATAGAAATTTTGTGACCTTTGAAGTAAGCCTCACATGTAAGTACTGTGAATGAATGTTTACTCATATTTCATTGTTAACTACCAGTACAGTTGGAGGATTGGTTAAATATATTATTCCGAAAACTTCCCCATTCGCATCAAACAGGGGAACTAGCATCTGAAATTACTTTTGGGATAATCTGGCTGTCTTTACTCGAGTGGAAAGATTTATAGTTCGTGCCTAAAAGTCTACTAAATTCTAATTACGATGAACGAATAATACAGATAATTTCTTATTTGTGGTAAAGAACTCAAAAATAAAAATAAGGTTTTGCATTTATTGAAAATATAATTAATTTTAGCGGACTTAGTGGATGTATACAGTAACTCACCAGGAGTAATAACTTTATGTGTTAAGTTTACGAAGTAACTCACCAGGAGTAATAACTTTGCTTGTCAAGTTTATGAAGTAACATACCAGGAGTAGTAGTTTTACTGGTTAAGTTTACGAAGTAACTCACCAGGAGTAATAACTTTACTTGTCAAGTTTACGAAGTAACTCACCAGGAGTAATAACTTTACTTGTCAAGTTTACGAAGTAACATACCAGGAGTAATAACTTTACTTGTCAAGTTTACGGAAGTAACTCACCATATATAATAAATTTACTGGTCAAGTTTACGAAGTAACTCACCAGAAGTAATAAATTTACTGGTCAAGTTTACGAAGTAACTCACCAGGAGTAATAACTTTACTTGTCAAGTTTACGAAGTAACATACCAGGAGTAATAACTTTACTTGTCAAGTTTACGAAGTAACATACCAGGAGTAGTAGTTTTACTGGTTAAGCTTACGAAGTAACTCTCCAGGAGTAATAACTTTGCTTGTCAAGTTTCCGAAGTAACATACCAGGAATAGTAGTTTTACTGGTTAAGTTTACGAAGTAACTCACCAGGAGTAATAACTTTACTGATCAAGTTTACAAAGTAACATACCAGGAGTAATAACTTTACTTGTCTACTTTACAAAGTAACGTACCAGGAGTAATAATTTTACTTGTCTAGTTTACAAAGTAACATACCAGGAATAGTTGTTTTACTGGTTAAGTTTACGAAGTAACATACCAGGAGTAATAACTTTACTTGTCTAGTTTACAAAGTAACGTACCAGGAGTAATAATTTTACTTGTCTAGTTTACAAAGTAACATACCGGGAATACTAGTTTTACTGATCAAGTTTAGGAAGTAACTCACCATATATAATAAATTTACTGGTCAAGTTTACGAAGTAACTCACCAGAAGTAATAAATTTACTGGTCAAGTTTACGAAGTAACTCACCAGAAGTAATAAATTAACTGGTTAAGTTTTCGAAGTAAAGCAGGAGTAGGAGCTTTATTATTCAAATGTACGAATAACTTACCAATAGCGTTAAAGTAGGGGTTTAGGTAAAGAAATATGAAAATGTTGAATTGTTTTTTTCATACAGCAGATTTCCGTTTTAGTAAAATCAGAATACAAACTTAGCCTGAAAAATGAGACCTCACAAAATAACAAAAAGTTATTATTAAATATCTGGTCAATGGGTCGTTATGGCGCTTCCATTTACGCAAGTGGAAAGTATGACGTCAATACTACCAATTGTCGCGCCATCCTGGAGACCCAAGAGAACAGACTAGTGTTTCGAGTCTTGATGTTGAGTCAATCGTAGAATTCGAGTGAGAGGGACAGACGAAGGAGGAGATACGTGAAAAAAATACAGTTTTTTTTCTTCTCAAAACCAGTAGGCTTAGTAGTGACAGTCAGTGAGTGTGATGAAGGATTATCACGACATGTGGTCTTAATAATGATTAGTGATTTTCACACTCTACTGCGTACCGTAACAAGTAATACCTATCTTTAGCCAATAAGGTTTTAGATATCCTTTTGTGAAATTTTTATCACTTCGGTTTTGCCCATCTACAGATCAGCCGTGAAAGAGTGGAACCAATCTTAGCTGTAAACTGACAGACATAAATACTTTATCAGGGATGCTACTGTAGCATAAGATAAGACTGGCAGAAAAAAGAGAAAATTTGGACATGTTCCCAAAGTGAAAAATACTCATTTTCTATTTCTAGAAGCAGCGTTGTGTGTTTACTAATGCAATACATGATAGCCGTGTTTGTTAAGTGGTAATATTTTCATTTGCGCCTGATTCACATATCGAGATATATAACTCAAGTAAAAAAATCGATAATACTACGCAGTTTTGTCGATATTTTAAGCGTGTTTTACTGACAACGCATAGATAAGCTTTTGAACGAGTGGCGTCATATTTATGGGATCTTATTCACGTGGACATAACCCTAATGGCAGCTACTTGGCCGCCGTCACAGACTCTGAGCAGTAGCGAGATGTTTCTGTTAAATGTTACGGAATCTTTCTCCACTCAAAAGGTGTCAAGTACTCCTGGTGTAGAGGACTATATTGCATCAGTCCTCGGCCCGAAACGGCTTACTCTTCGCTGGTTGATTCCTCTAACATCAGTGTACGCAGTGATTTTCCTGACGGGGGTAGTTGGGAATGCTTGCACATGTCTCGTCATAGCCCGGAACCAATACATGCAGACTGGTACCAACTGCTACCTCTTCAATCTGGCTGTAGCTGATATGTTGACGTTACTGTGTGGTAAGTCTTATTACACATAGAAATAGGATAAGTAATTCAGATGAATAACAGGAGTTTCATATAAAGCATATGAAAAACAAGTTGTGAAATCCAAGTCCTTTCACAACGGTCTTTTACTTTTATCACAGTTAAAGTACTGTAATACAACCAACATTTACCTGTGTAATACAAAGCATTTTTGTTTCAACAAACGGTACAGTATATTTGGTTTACGTTTCGCATGCATGGAACATTATTTTGGGAAGTTAAAAATAAACGGAAGCATCATGACCAACAAAGCTAAAGCTTATATAATGAATTTAAAATACTTAGTTATTTGTCTGTAGTTCTAGTGCAACTGGGGATGAAATTCAAACGTTAAAAACAAAAGCACTTAACTAAGTGGTTTTTTGCACCTGGATATATGTAGAAAAAGTATACTTATAATCAATGTACTGTTTGTGAGCAGTTAAATAACCTTTGAATTATGTATGCTTCATAAACTTAAAATGTATTCAATTTATAAGTTTCTGTCTTTAGATTGTTGGCTATCGAATAACAATAATGTTTGAAATAGCCAGACTTGGCCCATTAGTTCATAGTTACGTTTATTCGATTCATTGGTTTTTGTCTTTAGATTGTTGGCTATCGAGTAACAATAATGTTTGAAATAGCCAGACTTGGCCCATTAGTTCATAGTTACGTTTATTCGATTCATTGGTTTTTGTCTTTAGATTGTTGGCTATCGAGTAATAATAATGTTTGAAATAGCCAGTGGACTTCGTTAACCTTATTTAAATTAACATTATAATAAACCAATAAGCTAAATTTGGCTATTCCAAACATTATTGTTACTCGATAGCCAACAATCTAAAGACAAAAACTTATGAATCGAATAAACGTAATTATGAACCAATGGGCTAAGACTGGCTATTTCAAGTATTTTTGTTACTCGATAGCCAACAATCTAAAGAATGAAACTTATGAATCGAATAAACGTAATTATGAACCAATGGGCTAAGTGATAGAATCCACTATGCTCTAGAAAATGTATCTGTTAATGTTTTACATTTGAAACAATACAAAACATGATAATTTTTCACGACTACAATTAAATTTTGGAGCAGAGACCCAAGGACTATTGAATTCAGTGTGCTAAAGATCGGCCACTTTCACGTAATTCGTGTCTTCTGACTGAAAGCCGAGAAACAGAAAGAACTGGGTGGATAAGAAGAGTTGTAGTGGATAGCTTCACCTCTGATGTATGCTATTTCATACAACACGATTCCTTCATTCATCCAATAGTTGTAGTGGATAGCTTCACCTCTGATGTATGCTATTTCATACAACACGATTCCTTCATTCATCCAATAGTTGTAGTGGATAGCTTCACCTCTGATGTATGCTATTTCATACAACACGATTCCTTCATTCATCCAATAGTTGTAGTGGATAGCTTCACCTCTGATGTATGCTATTTCATACAACACGATTCCTTCATTCATCCACCATCCTATAAA